AACAAAACTTGGTTAACACTATGCCCCAAAGAATTTCAGCCGTAATAAAAAATAAAGATGATGTTACCCAATGGTAATCTTTCAATTGTCGCTTTGTTAACTTCGCGCATTTATTCGCACATTGTTTATTTGTTCAGATGTTCTATTAGTTATAGGTGTAAGTGATTTCAAATATGTATTTTTTACGACTAGAGTGTATCTAAAATGTTTTTGAGAAAATAAATTGTTTTAGAAGTAAATAGTTTCGTCATGTTTAGTTTATAAAGGCATATTTTGGTACAAATCTTAAAGTGGGCCAACTGAAGTGGGAAGGGGCTCGTACTCGTGTCTTTTTGACGAAGAGTAAATGAGGCTTGAATAGGAAGTAGCTTCCTTTAAACCCCGAAGATGTGTAGCTTTCTCTCCATGTGGTTCTCTAACTGCGTATGCTAGACATTATTTACGTTTCGGCTATTACAGGGGTGTTCATAAAGAGCAAAAAATTAAACTATTTATCGAAGATTTATAAAAGGTGAGACTGAGCGATGTGTCAGAGAGATAAATACATGATAAACCCCTCACGCCACTAACGCTTTGAAATATTGCCCTTTGATTAGATAGGTTATCATATAGCCCTCAATACCTTATTTTTTATAGCAGCAGATGGCTTTTGGAGGCATCCCATAAAGCTTGCTCCGCTCGAGTGACATAGTCAGGGGGTATTGAAAAGCGAATTTAATTTCCTGTATCATCACGCCTACGTACATAACTGCATAATAGATCCATAGACACCGGCTTTAATTATATATTAAAACTGAGTTTTCCAATTATGACCTTATTAAAATATATATGAGGATACGAACAACGTTGTCATGAATTGATACTCGTGCGTTTAATGAGTTCGGAGAACGATGTTCGCGAGGAATTAATTGTGACATAACTATCATTCGATCAGTTTTCCGAAAAGTCAAACATTATCTGTGATTTCCACGAGCTGTGAGGCTTGCCTATTTTAGGGTCTGCGGCAGTCTCAACTTTAGTCTTTGTTCAGCTTTTTGTTTACGGTACTGTTTTTGAGGCGGCCTCAGACTTAATGCTGTTACCCTTCTACCTGTTTTTAGAAGATCCGATTATTTAAAAGCCATCGACCATCATATTTTATCGCATTGTGTTCACTAAACTCTAGGCGCTGAAGAAAGAAACTAAACCCAAACAAATACACGCATATTGCTCGTGAGTGAGTGTTTAGGCGCAGGAGACATTACAGGACCGCATCAAGATATTATGGGTAGTCATCAAAAATTTCATACAAGATAATTATTATCTTTTACAGTAAATTTCAGTTAGAGATTCACAAATGAGTTAACTACACTTTTTAGTTATTAGTAAGTAAGCTGCGCGCACTCATTCAGAAGAGGAACTTGAATCTTCTGAATCGTTTAAATGAATTATTAGAGGTTCAATTTGGGTATCGATGACATTGTCCAAATCCCACATTTTGACCTCAACCTTCTCCCGAACGTGGCGGATACAGTTTTTCCATTCCTCTGCCGTAACTCTATTGACTGCGATGTGAAAGAGATTTTTAACATCAGAAAATTTATAAGTATTATTATTCGACGCCACGTATTGCTTTATGTTGGCCCAAATCAGCTCAATAGGGTTCAGCTCACAATGGTAGGGTGGCAGTCTCAAGACAGTTTTATTTTGTTTTTTGGCCATTTCGTCGATCATTTTAAAATCCTATTTGTATTTATGTCTATTGACTATACTTATCAATTCACCCTTGACCATTGTTTCATCAAAATCGATCTGTTTTGAGGCCAGCCATTGTTGTATGTTTGCTTTTTTAGTTGCCATTGTGGGAATTTTTTCTATTTTTCTAGAATGGTACGGGGCATTATCCAGTACAATAACAGCGTTATTCTCCAGCTTTAGTAACATTTTGGAGAACCAATTTTCAAAGGAATTGCCGTCCATCTCCTCATGATAGTCCCCTGTCTTTTTTGATTCAAAGGCCCACAGTGCTTCGGGAACAAAGCCGTCTTCACTACCTACGTGACAAATGATCAGCCGTTTGCCTTTTCCTGGAAATAAATTATTCCTTACACTATGGATTGATTAAATTTGAAGGAATGAGACAATTGAGTTCATTTAGCTGAATTTAAGAGTCACGGAATGCTGATCAAAAACTGAAAAACGTAGAAAATTGAAGTTTGCAACTTCTCAAAACCCATTCAAAGCAAATTGACTGCACCCAAAAATGATAATAAATTTCAAAATAACGCTTAAAAGAGGGTCGAAGTTTTTTTCCTAATGACTACACTGCGAATGCACCATTTTTGGAGAATATCACACATTATCTGCTATCACAGCATATTATTTGCCCGAATTTATCAAAATTAAATTGCCGGATAGATGAAGGAGCTTACCTGCAGGATTTTTCAATCCAGCCGAAAGACCGTCTAGAAAAGCCTGCCTTGATGATGTTACTGATTTGTCGACCCAAACTTTCGCTTGAGTATGTCCAGCATTCACCCACGTTTCGTCCAAATAGTAAATTTTTCTTTTTTCATCGCGAAACTTCCGAATCTTCCTAAGGTATTCCCTTCTCCACACAACAATTTCTTCTTTCTCTATTAACATACTGTTTCTTCCCCGTTTCAAGAATCGAAAATTAAGTTCCTTCAAAAGTTTTCGGAATGTGGTTCTTTTAAATGATGGAAGATCCTCATCAGCATTAACTAATCATAATATCTTATCTATTGTAGGTATCTCATTTCGGAAGAAAAAATTATGCACTTTCCTCCTGATGGCAGTTATACAGTTATCCTTTTTCTTGCAGGATACGGGTTTGGCTCAGAAAGTGAGTGAGTGCTCCTGTATTCCTTAATGATCCTATAAACACTGGACCGACATACTCCAGAAATATGTGCTACCTTACATATAACTTCGTCCACGACCAAATCGGGTTTTTCTTGAATTTGGTTTTTGTATATATTTAATATTATTTGTTTTTCATTTGCACTTAAATGTAGCTTCTTAGCCCTTTTTTTGGGTGGGGTTGCGCTGATGTCAACCACTTCGTCGGCTGTATCTGTGTCAGACATCGTATCTTAGGCAATATATAAACAAAACGTTCCACTCGCGAAAAATGAGTATACGCTACTGAATGCGTAATGCGTATGCAATGCAATCCTGTGCGTGAATTAACTATTAGATGCCTGTCGTGTCATCTACAATCACGTTTACAAGTCCAAACCTGTGCAGATTCGTAGAGCGCCGACGACTGCTGTGACCTTGAATTTGTCTGTAGATCGATGTTACTCCAGTCAATTTAGGTTCAAAGTGGATGTTTTCTAAACCAATTTGTTGTTCCTACATCAAAAATATATCGATGATGTTTTGTACTGGGAGCTCATGAAAGATCAAGGTAACTTATTTTAACAGTCATCCTTTTTCTAGTCTCAAGATGACACGAAAAAGGGTCTGTGGATTCACTAGAAATACACTACCGAGGATGTTTAGACCTAAAGTGACTGGAGTATATCCGTGGATGCTTTCGAGGGA